TCGGGGCTGAGCTCGCCCGGCGGGAGCCTGCTGAGGGTCTGCAGAGGGTGGCCCATGGGGTGCCTTGTCCGGGAGGCAGGGGCGGAGGTCAGCACGCTGTCGGCCTGGGGGCCCTCACCCTGCAGGGGCGGGAGAGAAACAGCAGCGGTTGAGTCTCAGTCCTCAGCCGCCCACCAGGACCGCCTGGGTCGGGATTCTCAAGGCACTAAACAGCAGCAGGCCCCCGACGTGCCCACAGTGCGCACGATCAGGGACCAAATTCCTGTCTACGCTGGTCGTGACATTAGTCGTTGACAACAACTTTATTGAGGTGATTCACACACCAGGAATTCACCCAACTCGGCTGTTTTGAGTGCAGCCACAGAGCTGGGCAAAGGCCACACACTATTCCACCGTCACCTGTCGGATAGCATCTTAGTCACCCAAACAGGAATCTGCACCCGACTCCTCCCACCCCAGTCCTGGCCATCGCCCTCTCCTTCCCTCCTTCCTCTCCTTCCTTCCCTGGGGCTCTGCCGGCTCCAGGTGCTGCGCGGACGGGACCCACCATAGACGGGACCCACCACGGAGGGTCCCACCACGGGGGCCTGTGTCTGGCTTCTCTCTTGCAGCGTAGTTTTCAGGGTGCACCCTGCTGCGTGCCGGGCCGCATCCTCTCTCGCAGCTGAAGACTAACCCGGGAGGGGTGCAGTGCCTTGTGCTTACTCGCTCACCAGCTGCTGGACGTGGGGTTGTTCCCACTTTGGGGCCAATCTGAATGCACTGCTGTGGGTGCTGGGGGCCTGTCTGTGGGCGCCGGGGCCTGTCTGTGGGCGGCCGGGGGCCTGTCTGTGGGCGTGTGTTTCTCTCCTCCCACGGCTCCCAGCGCGGCTGCGCATTCACACGCCCCCCAGCAGCGGGTTCCAGGCTCCACCTCAGCTGCTCGCGCTGCTTCGTCCTCATTTTCATTCCAACCAGCCCAGCGGTTGGGAAGTGGTCGGACTGGGTATTGAATCACGTCATGTCCTGCTCCTGTGATAGCACCTCCTACCCAGGGAAATGCCAGGCGCCTGGTTGCTAATGACACAGAGCGCCGCGTCCACGGCCTGGGCAGCACGGCCTTTCCCGGAGCCCCGGGCCTCCTCCTCGCTTCTGGTTTCCCGGAGGATGCGGGCGGCCACAGCCGCTCCTAGCCCTTGCCCACGGACATTTCCTGCTCGTGCCTCCCGGGCCATGGGGAACGTTGAGGCCATGGGCACGGCCTTGGGTCCAGCTCACACGGCCACTGGATTGAAGACGAGGCTCCGCCTGCCTGGCCTGGCTGTTTCCAAAAGCGTCTGGGCCAGGCTCGGCGGGTCGGTGCGAGCGAGGCCAGGACGCGGCGGCTGTGGGCCGTTTGCTTCTCACGTTTGAACTCAGGCAAATCACTTGACTCTTCTGAGACTCAATTTTCTTCTGTCACAGAAGGACACTGGACATTCTCCCTGGGACTGTTTATTTTGTAATGATGAGATTTCAGCTGTCCTCCAGATGGTTTAATTTTGTCTAAGTACCAGCTGAAATGAGCTGCTTTCCCTTGCAAAGGGCAGCTGAGATTCACGAGAGAGAAACAGGAAGTCTCCTCCGCAGCGTCCCTCCAGGGCACATACACTGGGCGCAAGGTCATCTTCAGCTTGGCGTCGGCTCCTGTTCCGAAGGCTGTCTCCACGCCCCTGGCCAGGCCACCCCGCGGCCGCTGTCCCGGCCCCTCATTAACGTGCCCCGGCGTCTCTCCTCTCCCCCCACATGCAGCCAACCTGCTGTCTCTGCGCGAGGCCTTTGACGAGAGCCAACGAGGCCATGGCAGAGGATCCCGGGCTGGACGCAGCCCACGGCAAATCATAGCAGAGTGTTTCAGGGATAAGCCCTCTATTGGGGGGTGTATGCGCTGACCCCCATTAAGGTGAAGAAGGGGAAAGAGCACGTGGCAGGCAGTACAAGCAAGGGGCTGTGGAGCAGGACCCCGCGGTCCTCACACCAGGCTCCCTGCAAACGGTGCGGCAGGGCAGTGTCCGCAGGAGCGATGGCCTCGGTGAGGGTGTCCGTCCGTGACCAGGGCCTGGGGGTGGGAAGGTGAGACGGGAGCTCATGGCTGCTTCCTCCCCGGGGCTCTGTCCCGAAGGAGAACAGCACACGGAGTGGGTTTGGGGCAGGGCAGCCCCCAGGTGGGTCTCCGCCTGAGGCTTCCGGGCCAGCGGCCTTTGCCCGGGGGAGGTGTTTAACACCTCCATCACCTGTGACTGGGGATCTCTCGGAAGTGCTGGTGGCTACGACCACTATCGCTGGTACTTTTACTTCACCAGCTCGCACTTTATTTTCTTTAAAGCGGCAGGAAGTCCCCAGCCCCGCCGAGAACGGCCCGCCCACCGCTTTCAGCTGAGTTTAACCTTCCAGGACCCATGTTCAACCCTGTGTTTGGAAAACGGTTTAAAGCCTCAATTCAACAAACCTATGGTGTTAGGTTTCTCAAGGTAACAGTGAATGATTTGTAAGACTGCATTTACCCAAATATGGAAACCAGAAACCTAACAGCATGAAAATCGGCCAATTGTCCATACGTGGCACAGCCACTTCTGGCACATTAACTCCTCACGCGGTGTCAGCGGAACTCAGTGGGGCACTGTGGCATGATCCACCGAGGGCAAGCGTCTGAGAACCGCCCCCGCAGCGCCCTGATGTCCCACGAAGATGGAAGTGCTTTGGGCACATTCCGAAGCCCCACCGCATGCGCTGAATAAGTGCCAGCAGGGTGGGCGGCTGTTCAGACCAGGCCCACCTGCCAGCACAGCTCTGCACTGGCACCCCTGGGGAGAAGTCTCACCTCTCTGAGCTTCACTTTTACCGCCTGCAAAACTTGGAAAATAATTTTTCTTATAGCAGCTGTGAGGATCAGGGAGAGTATGGGTAAAAGTCCCTAGTTTAGCACACGGCTCAGAGAGGTGTGCTTCACCATCATCCAGCATCATGACTTCTATCATCACCACCATCATCATCATTATCATCACCATAATCACCACCACCATCATCACCATCATCATCATCACCACCATCACCACCATCATCATCACCACCATCACCACCATCATCATCATCACCACCATCATAACCATCACCACCATCACCACCATCATCATCATCAGCATCATCACCACCACCATCACCATCACCACCATCATCACCATCATCCCATCACCACCATCAACATCACTATAATCACCACCATCAACATCACCATAATCACCATCAACATCACCATCACCACCATCAATATCACTACCATCACCACCATCAACATCACCATCATCACCACCATCACCACCATCAACATCATCATTATCACCACCATCACTACCATCAACATCGTCACCACCATCAGCATCACCATCTTCACCATCACCATCACCACCATCAGCAGCATCACGACCACTACTGCTACTGTGTGACAAGTTCTGGACTATATTCAATGAGGGAAGAACAACTCAAACATGGACCTGTCTTTAAACAGCTTGCAAGCTGAAATGCAAGTTAAGTCATAAACATTAGTAGGTACAACTGGAAGTATATTATTAAAGAGGTTCCTGGGAAGGAAGTGGTTATATTCAGCTGGGAATCAGGGCGGCTTCCTGCAGCCATGTGACACACATCCTAGACTACAACCTGCATTGCATCCCCTGCCTCCCAGCCAGCAAGACACTCATTGAGGTGGACCCCCTTGCTCCCAGATTCCCCTGGGCCGGGGTCCCAGAGCTGAAGGTCAGGCCTCCCTCCTCTCCCGATGTCACTTCCCAGCCCCAGGTTGCACAATTACGGGCAGAGACTGCCAGGAAGGCCTGGAGGCCGGCAGCCCAGCGCCAGCAAACACTGAGTGGATGAGACGTTTGTCTACACCCTGGTCCCGCATGCTCATCAGATACTCTCTAGTGTCAAGGATCCAAAACAAATTAGGAGCCCAGACTGGGCCATCTTTTGACCACAGCAAACCTTTTCTCCAGTTTGCCTCATGCCCGGAGGCAGCGCTGACAAGCACACTGATCAAGAGGTGCTTGCGGCTGGCGTGACAGAGCACACGGCGGCGGGGCTGTTCACAGGCCTCCTAATGAGCTGGCCCGCAATGGCCTGGACAACGGTGAGAGTTGGGAGCTGGTGGAGTTCAGAAACCCCTGCCTCCAGCTCATTACTGGAGAGTCAGGGTTACTTCACCGTGGCTTCCTGTTCTCAGGCCATGGGGCAACTCTGGCAACTTATTCTCTCTCTCTCTCTCTCTCTCTCTCTCTCTCTCTCTCTCCTTCTCTATGTGTGTGACTCTGTCTCTGTCCCTGTCTCTCTGTTTCTCTCTGACTTTCTCCCTCTCCACCCACTTCTCTCTCCCTTTCAACACAGTGAAAAGGTTGTCAGTGCTTAATGGTGTTCAGGCTCTAGGTGCCCACCCATGTGCAGGGGTGAGGGCTGGAGGGGTCACTCCCGCGACAGTGCCACCATCAGGACAAAAGAAACGGCCTTGTTCAGAGCCTCACACTGGTCCCGCTCTGACACGGCGGCCGCCAGCTGCAGTGAGACACAGCTCTCCACAGAAGGCGGCCAGTCCCTGACAGCTCGGGGGTTCCCAGCGCCTGCGGCCTGAGGGGCTGAGTTCTAGGCCACAGGACCGATGAATTTTGAGAAATCTGACAGTCAGATGTGCCGTGGCCTTCTGCACGGGACACTGCATCACGTAGCCTGGGGTTGCTCTGAGGCAGTGGTTCTCAACCTTCCTCATGCCGCCACCCTTTAATGCAGTTCCTCATGTTGTGGTGACCCCCAACCATAAAATTATTTTCGTTGCTACTTCATAACTGTAATGTTGCCACTGTTATGAGTCTAATGTAAATATCTGATATGCAGGATGTATTTTCATTGTTCGCGACCCACAGGTTGAGAACCGCTGCGAGGAGACACGACGAGGGGAAGGGCTGCTTCTCCGCCCCCCACTCTGCACCGCCTCCCTCCTCACCACACTCGCCCTGGTTGGCACGTGTCCTCGCCGGAAGCTGCACCTGCAGCCCCGGACCCAGCCCGGGAGCACAGGGAGCGGCCGGAGCAGAGAGCTGTGTCTGCACCTCGGGTTGGCGAGGTCACCGCGAGGCCAGGCTTATGGCTGCCGGCCAGGCTGGGCTTTGGCTCTGCCTGTGCGCATCCTTGTTGACCCTGAAACCACCCTGTGGTGTGGACACACGCTCCCCATTTCAGGTGCGTGGCCCCTGGCGTCTGCTTCGGGCTGGGCCACAGGAACCGTGGGCTCATCCTCCGTCTGTGGTGGAAAACAACACAACTTGTGCTCAGCTGAGCTTGGAGGAGGGGACTTGGCGATCTTGCTTTGGGCTTAAAAAATAAACATGAGCAAGCCGGACAGGAATTTCCAGGTTCAGCCCCCACTTGAGGGTTTGCATCGAACATCCCAGGCCATCTCTCGTCTCCCGGCCTCAGCATCTCGTTCTGAAAAACGCGGTGACTAAGCTGAGGGCCATCTCTTCACTGAACCCACCAGAGAAGCTGTTCCTGACCCACTGCCTCCGTGGGCTCTGCGCTGCCTCCGCTCTGTGTGCAGCTCCCACTGCTCACTCAGCGTCTCGCCGTCCCACTCAGTCCTGCAGTCCATTCGTCTTCATTATGAACATGGCCCTTTCCCATCGTCGCAACACGAGTCACACCTGGGTTTTCTTCTGTTGCCTCTTTCCTCTCTCAACCATGAGGCCCATCTTCTTTCTTCTCCCTTCACCTTCCCCAAAGTCTGACTGGATGCTGACGTTTTGTATAAAAGAGCAACAGAGAATGAAGTAAATACCATTCACCCCGGAACAATGCACAGCCCTTGCTCTGCCAGTCTGCTAATGTGGGCACTGAAGCCACGTGATCTGTAGCGAGGTGGGCGCTGAGGCCGCGTGATCTGTGGCGAGGTGGGCGCTGGCGTAGGCACTGAGGCCACGTGATCTGTGGCGAGGCGGGCGCTGATGTGGGCGCTGAGGCCACGTGATCTGTGGCGAGGTGGGCGCTGAGGCCGCTTGATCTGTGGCGAGATGAGCACTGACATAGGCACTGAGGCCACGTGATCTGTGGCGAGGTGGGCGCTGAGGCCGCTTGATCTGTGGCGAGATGAGCACTGACGTAGGCGCTGAGGCCGCGTGATCTCTGGCGAGGTGGGCGCTGACTTTGTGGCCGAGTCTCCCGGCTGCAGTTGGTTGAGAGCAGGATCAGGGCCTTTCTTCCTGGGCTGGGCTCTGGGCTCTGAGGATCCCGATGCTTGTAGGGGCTGCTGGTTTCTGGCCCCTGAGGGCTCTCTGAGCACAGAGTGATGCCAAGTTGTCTCCCGTCCTGCAGCCTCCACGACAGACCTTCCTCCCCCGTTTTGCCCGTCCCAGGCCTCAGAGGCGCGGGGGCCGCTTGGAACCCCCGGCGGCTCCTGGGAGTGCCTCCCACCCCCTCCTCTGCACCTGAAAGGGATCTAGAGCAGGTTCCCTGCTGACACAAAGTGAGCTTCTACCCGGGGCCAGCGCGGTGCCCAGACCCAGCACCTACACGGCGCCCGCAGAGGGCAGGGTGCGAGAGGAGAGACCGCAGGGTCTCCCCGGGACAGGTCTGGGCAGTGGGTCCCCTGGTCACCCAATCCCGGCCAAATTCAGGTTCCCGTGTCCTTCCTGCAGGGGAGCGTCCACTGCCGTCCCAGGCCCTTCCCCGCGGTGGACTCGACACTCCGGCTGCCCTGGCGTCCTGCTGTGTGATCGATGGGGGGCTTCCTCGGGCCACGGGCCTGTCCCACGGGGGACACCTTGGGGACCCCATCCCTCAGGCTCAGCATCGAGGGGAGCAGGCAGCCACTGCTGGACTTGGGGAGGGGTCACCCTGCCACGACCCCAGGGACCCTCTGTGCACACACCCCTCCCCTCACACACCGCCCACCGTCTGGACAGACATGGGAGAAACAGGAGACGCGGCTGAGGACTTAGGAGGTGCTCCTTGGGAACCCAGGGACCTGAACTGACTGGGTGGTGGGCACACACGTACAGGCCACGTACCATAAAAACATACCCTCGAAACCTATTGATCCCATTAACCAATATCACCCCAATACATTTTTTAAATCTCAAAGAAAAGGAATTCCCCCTCCTTACCCCCCAGGTGACACCCAGCCCAGAACCCAGAGCTGTGACGTCACCTGGACTGCCCGCCCGCCCAGCTGCATCCTGGGGAGCAGGTCCAGGGCCACAGCCGGGGACAGGGCCTCCAGTGACAGCAGGGAGTGCTCCAGGGCCGTGGCCAGCACGTGGTCGCCCTGCAGACCGGGCCTCCTCTCGTCCTCGGCTCTCAGCTTCCAGCTCCTGAAAAGAAAAAAAGAGGCTCTGAGCCACCACACGCGAGGGGTCCGTCAGCCGTCAGGCCCTGCTGGTCCTGCTGGGCCGTGGGAACAGCACGGGGCGGATGTGGGGCACCCACAGCACCATAGCTGCAGCGCCACTGGCCACTGGGCTGCGAGGCCACAGACCTGTGGGTCTGCGAGGGAGTCGCTGACCGGCTGCCCCTGCCCGGTGCCTGCACGTCAGCACAGCCTTCAGGTTGACCTGAAAACACACCCACAGCCGAGCTCATCTTTGTTCCCAATGCACCCCCAGGTCAGCTGCTCCGCTCCCACCCACCCGGACCTTTGGGAAAAGTAAACAGATTTGTTGCTAGAAATGCCAACCATGTGCTGGTTCCCTTGTCACTCACATCTCAGCTCGAAGGTGCCTCCCGACCACCCGATCTGAGGGGTGTCCGTCATGGCTCATTAGAGCCTCTAGTATTTTAGCATCTATGATGAGCTGGCAGGCCCTTCTTTCCGTACAGGTGCACGTGCTATTGCTGGACAGCCTGCGTTAGCATGCAGGCTGCCTGAGAGAAGGAAGCACATTGTTCTGTATTTCCTGTTTGTGGCTCTCACCCCAGAGTTTACAACAGAGCCCAACTCCCCGGAGGCAGTGAAAAAAATATGTGCTGACTGAATAAATGAGCTTAATTCGTCCACGAAATTCTGGGTTCCTGCAGAGTGAGCTCAGCCGCCAGAATTTCACACCAGTAACCTGTGAAATGGCACTTTTTCCGGGGCTGGACTCCGGTCCGGGAAACCTAAACCCCATGAGGACAGAGCGTGGCTGGAACAGAACCGATGGCTCAGGGGAAGTGAGTAGTGCATGTTGTGGAAATAAAATTTGTAAGGAAATTAAAAAATTTTAATTCTATAGAAACAACCACAGATGCTGTTTGTACAGAAGGAACTGGATGTGTTTCTCCATCAACGACACAGCCTTGCACGGAGCCTCTACAACATGGCGCCAAAGGCTGCAGCAACTGCAGAACAACAATAACTGAGTGATTGTTCCTGACATTTGCACAGCCACGCCTGAGGGCTTGCACACGAAATGCACTTGGTCTTCATGTCAGCAAATACTGGGTTTCAAAGCGTGTCATTTGCATCATCTCCCAGAAGTACCGCTGCTGCTGCACAGGAAATTCCACACCCAGGACCACTTGAGATGTCAGCATGGGCCCAGGGAGAGGCCGGGGAGGGGGCGCCGG